TTTTTGGTGTCTATGCGGTGAAAGGAAAAAATGAGGATTTTTTTTCTTTCACCAAGGATGTTTTTATAGGTCTTTTATGAAAGTAGTCTCGATACCAGAAAGAGAAGGCAAGAAAATTTACGGTAGAATTAAAGTAATTCATACCATGGTTAGAGTTTTTGCATGGGGAGTTTTCCAATGGTTGTAGTAGGTTTTAGGTTTTTAAAATATTTAATTTTTATTTACTATAGAATTTAGTAAACCCCAACTCATATAGATGTTTATTAACTTGTTAGATTTTTCTACGTAGAAATTAGAATTGTCATTGTCAGTAACATTTGACACATCGAGTATTGCCAAATAAATATCATCTAAGATTCTATAATCAGTCTTAAAAATTATAAATATAATTTAAAATTATATAAATAATTAAAATAATACAAAATTTTTTTTCTAATCCAAATGATAATATTATCTTTAAAAGCTTATATGACTTTGTTCTCAAAAGAAATTTTTTGAAAGAAGAAAGTCCCCAAATAAGCTGGCGGCACGGCTGGCAAGACCGCCCGCCCAAGCTACGAGAGCTTCCCCGTTACCTTAGCGGACATGACTCGTTTGCGTTTCAGCTGTAGTACTTAGAACAGCCAAAATCCTCGTTTGCCAACGTGTCTCTTCTTTATTTGTCAACTCTGGCAATTACACGAATAAAAACTTCCATGGCTGTTCGGTTCCTGACAGCAGATCTCCAATATATTCCCTAAATTCTCCCCATTAAAGTCGACGATGCCCTAATCAAGCAGCAAGCGAAAGGTTCGCACGCGTGATGGCTTTCTCCGATAGCTCCCGCCGCGAAGCTTTCTTGCCCTCCTTCCTTTACTCGCCGGTGCTGAAATCCTCCGGCCTCGAACGGATCCTCCTACGAAGCCCTAGCTCTCAGGTCGGGCAAACGGCCCCTTCGACCGGATCGCCCCCGCCGACCTCTTTCCTCGTCGAAGCTCCGAGCGAGCCCGCAAGGAAAATTGAGATGTACTCCCCGGCTTTCTACGCTGCCTGCACCGCCGGAGGCATACTTAGCTGCGGTCTCACCCACATGGCCGTCACACCTCTTGATCTCGTTAAGTGCAATATGCAGGTCAGCGAGAAGCTTCCCCAGCCGTTTTTAGGAATTTAAGGATTTTGGGCACCCTGAACTATAGATGGCGTTGCAAGGATTTGGTATCCTATATTCGTTGCGGATTCCTCGGATCTGGAATTTTTGAACTTTTTGTTGATCTCCTTGTTTCTCTCGCATGTTGTTTATATTGAATCTGTATAATCGTTTGGACAATGTTTTACTTTGAATGATGTAGGTTACTTTTCTTACAAAATGGTGCTTTATGCAGATTGATCCGGCGAAATATAAGAGCATCTCCTCAGGATTTGGAGTTCTGCTTAGGGAGCAAGGCGCCAGGGGATTCTTCAGGGGTTGGGTACCGACCTTGCTTGGCTACAGCGCTCAGGGAGCTTGCAAATTTGGCTTTTATGAATTTTTCAAGAAATATTATTCGGACATTGCTGGGCCTGAGTATGCAACCAAGTATAAGACGTTAATTTATCTTGCTGGGTCTGCATCTGCCGAATTCATTGCCGATATAGCTCTTTGCCCATTTGAGGCTGTTAAAGTGCGTGTCCAGACGCAACCGGGATTTGCCCGTGGCATGAGTGATGGGTTCCCCAAGTTTGTCAAATCTGAAGGAGCCTTGGGGTATGGTCCTATTTTAATTGACATTCATGTTTTGGTTTTCTTATGCGTTCTGTTGTAGCTTTAATTATATACTTGCTTGACAGACTCTACAAAGGGCTTGTTCCGCTTTGGGGTCGTCAGATTCCATGTAAGTTTCAAACTTTCCCCAAACCTTGAATTACTAATATATAATATCGGATTATTATCTTTTGATAATATCTTGCTGCTTCTGGACTCGACGGTTTTGGCTTTTTCATGTATAATTGTTTAGAATCTGATTTTGGAGATGTTAGAGCAGTTATAGTGCTGTTTTCATGGGGTACCTTTTCACTATTTTTTCTGTAGAAAAATCAACTAATAAGAAGCAGTGTTTATTTGGATAAAAAAATTTGAAGATTTTTCCTTGCCTTTTGCAGAATTTGCTAAAAAATAATGTTTTTGGAAAATATAATATAAGTTTAGGATGATAAAGTAGATTTTAAAAGTTTCAACAACAAAAACTGAAAAGCATAAGCCACCCCATACAAAGCGCTAACAATACAGGTTCAACATTATATACCCTTCCCCCTCCATTCATTCATATTGAGTGCTGCATGAGGTTTTAACTCAATTTTGTTGATGTTTTTTTATGTATTCTCTTCTTCATAGTTTTACGACCCATTCATCTTAATATTCTCATAGTCAACACATTCAATTTGGCTATCTTTGAGTTGTTGTCCTACACTTGGATTCTTGTATCTTATTTACTTTAATTGTGTTTTATCTTTCAGTTTTAATGATTCTCTTTTAGCACATAACATCTTGTCTATTTGAAATTATCTAATATAACATTTCAAGGCTTTTTTTTATGATTTTGCTTGGCAATCATTATGATATTTTCATTTCTCCCATGTTTGGCTACCAATGGATTTTTAAACCACTCAAACACTTGGATCCGTAGATTATAGCCATTTTTATGATTTTGCTTGGCAATCATTATAATATTTTCATTTCTCCCATGTTTGGCTACCAATGAATTTTTTAACCACTCAAACACTTGGATCCGTAGATTATAGCCAACTTAATTGTACTTCATTTAATTTAGAGTATCTTTGATAATCTGTCAATGCATAATACTCGGGAGGCTCTTCTCAATTTAACCAACTTACCTTAAACATGAACATTGTATCTTAATTTATATCCGGATTCTTATGCATGATAAACTGATACTTAAACCTGTTGCTTTCAGGCAGCATTTTTCTTTTAGTAAAATTGTCTTAAAAACTTTTAGTTCCATTACTTCTATGTCCTTTACCTTTCAAGTATTTTTTAATATTTAATTTCTTCTATAATTATCATTACTCAACGGCATTTTTTTTGTTTTAAATTCATTTTTAGTCATTTGTCATTTTTTTAACTTTTAGGATGTTAATAAAAATATTTAATCTAAATTATGTCATTATCTCTTATAGAACTCCAGGCTTCATAGATATCTCACGAGGTTTTAAGAAATTAACGTTCTTACATTTTCATCAAATTATTTAACTTCATTTTAATGGATTAATCTAAAGTATGCTTTATTATTTAATCATATTTGCCATTTTAAAGTAATTTTTCACATAAAATTTTCATTTCATAGTTAAAATAATATTTTCATTTTTCTTTGACATCATCATCTTTATATCCTATTTTTGAAGTTTTTTTTATAGGTTCAGCTATGCTTACTGTTTTTGCAAAATTTTGATCTTGTATGTATTATATGCTCAAATAATACTTGTTTTTTTCGTTCCTTTTGAAGGCTTTTGTTTTTCTTAACAACACTTTATTTCTCTTTAACCCATCATTACTGTTTTTTATTGTGATTGACTTATAGACACTTTTATTTTTTTGTGTCAATTTCTTAGTGCAAAGTACTTTTTCCCTTACCTAAATCCTATCTGATTCAAATTTTGATTCGGGGTAGCTCTCTTACCAATTTATTATTGAAGGCTAGCTCATTTTTTAAGATTTACCATTTTATGCCTGGATAACTTTTTATTTTCATTATTTTTTATGTATCTATAGATATTTGCTGTTATTTTATGTTGTGTGAGTAGTCCTGGATCCAGTTTAAAATTTTAAGAAACAAAATGTAACTTGCTAGTGGATGTAATTTGTATGATTTAAAGAAGGGGGGGGGGGGGGGGGGGGGGGGGGGTTTTTTTTTTTTTTTTTTTTTTGGAGCGACGGGACGTCCAGACTTAATTATGACTACTTTGGAGATGTGATTATGTTTGATACAAGCTATAGGTTAAATAAA